TAGGATACTAGATAAAATGGTGAAATTAAAAACATTTGGGTGTGCTCATAATCTCATCTGGTGCCTGGTGCTCTGACCATCACTGGGATAATATAAACCAGAGGCTCTGAAGCATGTTGGTAAATGGGAACGGGAGCATCGTGCACTGAGCCAGTTGGTATAGACTGATTCTTTTCTATTGGTAATCCTGATGAAAACTCATTTATTAATAGATATGGATTTGGACTGCACTGGTATTTTTGATGTCATGATTAGAGCAGAAACAAAGTTACAAAACCACCCCCAAGATGTTCCTGCATCAACTCCTGATACATCTGTTTTTAGTTATGATTATTGCAGTCACTTTTCCCTTCTAAAAGACTAATACAAGTTTGGTATGTTGCTATCAGTGTCTGCATTGGTTCTGCAGAATGTGTTGGGCTAAGTGTTACTGTGGCCCCTCCTCCCCTACTAGGTGTGAAGCTGAAGATACTTCGTAGTTTTCAGATGCGGTTCAACCAGCTCCGTTCTAACTGGGAGTCCACTCCCTCCTAAGGATTCAGTGCTCAGTTGCTCAGTCAGGTCTGACTCTTCGCAACCCCGTATACCGTAGCCCACCAGGCTGCTGTGTCCATGGGATTTTCCAGGCAAGAACACTGGAGTGGGCTGCCATTTCCTTCTCCAGGATGGAGTTGGTAGTGATTCTAAAACAGGTGTTATTTTCCTGAGAAGGTCAAGGAAGGCAAGACGATTGAGGCTGGATCATTTCCTGAGTAAGGCTCCAGCCTCTTCACCACCCCCAACGTAACCTCTTAAATTGCTACTTACCCGGTCCCCAGCCTGCTCCATGACTGCTTTCCTGCTTCCTCTTTTACATCCCACTCAGTCCCCAAACACTCCTGTCCCAGTATAAAAGTTATTGAGTATAGCTGTAAAGGAAACTATAAACAGCCCGGTTTAAAAAGACAACCTCTCATCTTAAAGAGAGAACCCTGACTCCACATTTCCCTCCACAGTCACCACCTTATTTTTCTGCTCCCCTTTTCAGTGAAACTCTGGAGAAAATCGCTTTTATTGGCTCTCAATTTCCTCTCCTCCCATTTCCTCTTGAAACGGCTGCATTCTGCCTTTCATCTCCATCTCTGCACCGAAACGCCTCTTGTCAAGGTCATGGATGTCACCCAGATTGCCCAGCCAGTATTTGTATCACACTCTCTTATTTGATACATTTTCTTTACATGGTCTGGCATAGGATTCTCTCTCCTACTCCTCCATCTTGGGAGCTTTTCTTGTCCTCTAATTTGCAGGTGTCTCCTGACCGATCTGATTTTTAAACAATGAACAGCTCCAAAGCCCAGTTCTCCATGCTTGTCCAATCTCTCATCACTCCCCAGGTGGTTTCCCCCTGCCATTTAAAAGAACATATTACACATGTTGTTATGGAACAAACTTCAAGATATATTGTTAAATGAAAATCCATGAAAGATGGCAAGTTGGATGAGTGCAGCAGTTTGCGGTGACTGATGACNATGGGATCGCAAAGAGTCGGACACGACTGAGCAACTGAACTGAACCGAATATTCCATTGTGTATATGTACCACAGAGCCTATTATACAGAGTGAAGTAAGTCAAAAAGAGAAAGATAAATATCACATTCTAACATGTATATACGGAATCTACAGAAATGGTACTGAAGAATTTATTCACAGGGCAGCAATGGAGAAACAGACATAGAGAATAGACTTATGGACATGGGGAGAGGGGAGGAGAGGGTGGGATGTCTGGAAAGAGTAACATGGAAACTTACATCACCATGTGAAAAATAGAGAGCCAGTGGGAATTTGCTCTATGGCTCAGCAAACTCAAACAGGGGCTCTGTACCAATCTGGGGGGTGGGGGGCGATGAGGAGGAAGATGGCAGGGAGGTTCAAAAGGGAGGGGATAGATGTATACCTATGGCTGATTCATGCTGAGGTTTGACAGAAAATAACAAAATTCTGTAAAGCAATTATCCTTCAATTAAAAAATAGATTTTTTTAAAAAGAGCTAACAATGTAGTCCCTGAAAACTATAATGTTTCTAGTCACTTAAATAGAAATTAAATTTAATTTAAAGTTAAAAAGATGAATCAGGTATACATGTTACCCTCCAGAAATGTATAGTTTGCTGCGTGTGGAGAGGGGGTTGAAAAATAAATAGTTACAAAATAAGGAGCAAATGGTGTTGCCAGAGAAATGACAGTTGGGACTTATGGAAACTCAGATAAATAGAGCAGCTTTTAAAAGTTTGATGAAGCTGAATTAGTTTTGACTTCTTTATTGCACACTTGCAAAATTAGCACATTTCCTAATTGCCTCTGTAATCAGGTTGAAATTTCTAAAGTTTTCTGTTGCTTGTTCATGCTCCCAATCTCATAATTGGAATGGAAAAGCTGTTTTCTTGGTCTATCTCACAGACCTCAAGAACCCAAGAAACACATATCTAAGGATAAATATTTGAAGAAAAAAAACAATTTTATTTCATTAGATTTGAGAGAAAGGGGTCAAAATGGAGAGATTAACACATGGGACACTGGGAGAAATGTAGAGGGGTTGCCCCAAGCGGCTAGGAGATGGGTCAGCTGGGGTCTGAACCCAGGGCTGTCTGATTCCAGAGCCCATACTCTTTCAGTATTACAGCCTGGTCTCAGACATAAATTCACGTTTAAACATTAGAAAAAGAGGAAAAGGTACCCATGGGTAAGAAAACATTTGATTTACAAAAAAGAGGGAGTCATTGATGGCACAAGTGCCCTAGGAGAACTAGAGAAACACAAGACGTTCAGAAGTCCATGCACATCCATGGACTTCCCTGGTGGTCAGTGGTTAAGACTCCACACTCCCACTGCAGAGGACGTGGGTTTGATCCCTGGTCAGGGAATCTAAGATCCCACATGCCATGTGGCTCAGCCAAAAGAAAAAGTAGGTACATCCACAGTAACACTATAAAACGTTATGGAAACAGAGAGAAAGAAGGAAGATACAGACTATCGAATAATTGCCCCATTTGATTGTTAGTGAAATTATCATCATTTCCTTTTATTTTCTGTATCTAAAATATAAATGTGCTCATTTCCTCTCTTCTTGGTTTTTGTGCTATAAGCGGGAGAAGGTAAATTTAGAGCTGAATCTTATCCAAGCTGGAGATTTAGATTCCTGTTCTCTGCCTTTCAACTCCCACTTCATCCAAAGACCTTCACCATCGCTCCTTACCTGCTCTTGCCCTCATCCTCTGCTAGAATCATTATGTCTGTTGGGTCTTAATCCACATCAGTCTTCAAGCCTTCTTAAAACTTCTGAAACACCAGCTTTTCTTGGACCTAATGTCATTGAGTCAAATCAAAGGATTTGATTTTTCTTCTAACCAGTAGTCATCAGTCGTGAATATTCCTATGCAGATTTTGATTGACTTGTTGTCATGAGTATAAATTTATGTTTAACTTTACAGCTATGTATTCAATAAATGTCACTATCTTATTGACTGCCCAGCTTAATGACAGCTATCCAGTAGACAGATGACAGATAGAGAGAAAAAGAGATAGATAGAGAACATAATTGTTAACCAAAAGTGAACACATCTTTTTAAATATAGACATCTCTGGGCTTGGTGATAATGCTGTTTCCTAGCTGATTTACTGTATTACTCTGAGAATAATTAGCCATAAACATCAAAGGACTGTTATATGTTTTTTTCTCTCTTTTCTCCAAAGAAAAGCACAGTGGGATATGTAAGATGTCAGAAATAATTAGACAAAATTGCACAATCCCATTGTGATACTAAAATATCTCTGGAGTTGAATATTTGCTGTGAAACTTTAAAATCTGGTTTGAAAGATGCTTATTATAAACAGTGTAATTTTTTTTCTTTAAAGGTAAAGGTCCCAGAATTTTTAAAGCATGGTATTATGTGAATATATGGTTGCAAGCAAGTGTGAAAAGACTTATAAAGATTAATGAGAAAGTCATCTGGTGGCATGATAGACTTAAAATTTGGTAATGTCGCCCTCAGAAGGAGTTTGGGAACTTAAAAAAGTAGCATTTGAAAAATAATGTAGGGATGAAGTTTATTGGTGAGCAAAATATAAAAGAAACAGACTCACAGATGCAGAGAACGAACTAGTGGTTCCAGTGTGGAGAAGGAAGAAAGGAGGGGCAATACAGGGGCAGAGGATTAAGAGATACAAACCGACTGCTGTATATAAGGTAAGCTACAAGGATAGGGACTTCCCTGGCTGTCCAGCGGTTAAGACTTCGCCTTCCAGTGTAGGGGGTGAGGGTTCGATGCCTGGTCAAGGAGGTAAGATCCCACATGATTTGTGGCCAGAAAACCAAAGCATACGACAGAAGCAATGTTGTAACAAATTCAATAGTTTAAATAAAAATGGCCCATCTTTTTAAAACTCCTTTTTAGAAAAGCTACAGGGGGCTTCCCGGTGGCTCAGCAGTAAAAAAAAAAAATCTACCTACCAGCGCAGGAGACACTGGTTTGATCCCTGGTCCAGGAAGATCCCACGTGCCACAGAGCCACTGAGGCCGTGAGCCTCGGCTGCTGAGCCTGCGCTCTAGAGCCCGGAAGCCACAGCCACCGACGCCCGCACGCCTGCAGCCCGTGCTCTGCATCACAGCCACGCAAAGCCCACGCGCTGCAACTAGAAAGGAGACCCTGGTCACCGCGACCAGGGAAAAGTGTGCGGCGGTGAAGACCCAGCACAGCCAAAAGCAAACAAATCAATAGAAATTTTAAAATGCTGCTTGGGTATACCCTCCAGCGCAGGGACTCAGCCAATACTTTCCAGTAACTGTGCATAGAGTGTAACCCTTAAAACTGATCACCGTGTTGTCCATTTGTAACGCAAAATATTATGTATCAACTATACTTCCATTTTTTACAAAGATGGAGTTTACATTCAGAGAAGAAAAAATATATGTCAAAAACATGTGAAGATTTTCTGAATACTGAAATACTGTCATTTGTCTTCCAGGTGAAAGAACATGGCTTTCTCATTCAGACTATAGCATCCAACGCTGTGGTTTTTCCATTTACCCACACAAAATGGAACCCGAGAGACGACGCAGCTGAGGAGATTACAGAGTCCTTACCAGTGAAAGACATTCAAGCCTACATAGTTTTCAGCTGAAACAAATAACCACCCGCTTCGCCACAGCATAATAGATTAGAACAGGGGGAAAATGAACATCACTAACTGTACCCCGGAGGCCAGTGTGGCCGTGAGACCCAAGACCATCACAGAGAAGATGCTCATTTCCATGACTCTGGTGATCATCACCACCCTGACCACGCTGCTAAACTCCGCCGTGATCATGGCCATCTGCACCACCAAGAAGCTCCACCAGCCTGCCAACTACCTGATCTGCTCTCTCGCCGTGACGGACCTCCTGGTGGCCGTGCTTGTCATGCCCTTGAGCATCATGTACATCGTCATGGACAGCTGGAGGCTGGGGTACTTCATCTGCGAGGTGTGGCTGAGTGTGGATATGACCTGCTGCACCTGCTCCATCCTTCATCTCTGTGTGATCGCCCTGGACAGGTACTGGGCCATCACCAATGCCGTCGAGTACGCCAGGAAGAGGACCCCCAGGAGGGCCGGGCTGATGATCCTCACGGTCTGGGCTATCTCCGTCTTCATCTCCATGCCCCCGCTGTTCTGGAGGAGCCACCGCCGCCCCAGCCCCCCGCCCAGTCAGTGCACCATCCGGCACGACCACGTCATCTACACCATCTACTCCACGCTGGGGGCATTCTACATTCCCCTGACTCTGATACTGATTCTCTATTACCGGATTTACCATGCAGCCAAGAGCCTTTACCAGAAGAGAGGTTCGAGCCGGCACTTAAGCAACAGAAGCACAGATAGCCAAACTTCGTTCGCCAGTTGTAAGTTGACACAGACGTTCTGCGTGTCTGACTTCTCCACCTCAGACCCTACCGCAGAGTTTGGGAAGATCCACTCCTCCATTAGGATCCCTGCCTTTGACAATGACCTGGAGCACCCAGGAGAACGCCAGCAAATCTCCAGCACCAGGGAGCGCAAGGCAGCACGGATCCTGGGTCTGATTCTGGGCGCGTTCATCTTATCCTGGCTGCCATTCTTCATCAAAGAGCTGATCGTAGGTCTGAGCACCTACGTCGTGTCCTCCGAGGTGGCCGATTTTTTGACCTGGCTCGGTTATGTGAATTCTCTGATCAACCCTCTGCTCTACACAAGTTTCAATGAAGACTTTAAGGTGGCTTTTAAAAAGCTTATTCGGTGCCGAGAACATACCTAGATTGTAAAAACTCAGAGGGCTTGACTTTAGCAGCCTCGTGAGTGCACGGGGTAAGGAATGCAGCTTATTAATTCTTGAACATAGTTGGTTCAGGAGAGTTTGTAAGTATGTGTGGTCTCGTTTTGTCTTTTTTTCTTTTTCTGTTTTGTTATTTCATGTGCTATTTTCTACCTCTGGTCTTATTTGTGGTACATAATTTCAAATAAACATTATCAAACAAAAACAAATTTCATAGCAGTAATAATAAGGTGAAATAGTAAATACTTTTTATTTCTTTAGCCATTTCAGTTAACCCAGCAATTAAAGAATGCCAAAATCAATCTTCATTTGCAGAATTCTTTATTACTTATGTATCAAATACATGATGACTTGCCGTGGTGTGTGGCATTAATTCGGAGGTTACGGATCCAAATGCTTAAACACTTCATTGGGTGCATGATAACATAGAGGACTTTTTTAAAGTGGTGCGCTATCATCTACTGCTTGCAGACCTGACCTGAAGTCATTTCTTATGATTACATGGCGTGCACCTTTCTGGCACAGATGGTATCGCTGGCTCTTAGTGCTCATAGCTCACTATTAAATAAGCATCTTCATTCTCTAAAAGGAACCTAGAATGAATGTACTAATACTTTCCTAGGCCTTTGACTATGAATGTGAAACATGAGCAAATAATATTATGAAACAATCATCAAAATTAGTCACTTTGTTGTTGACACATTGGTCCTCCTCTAGTTCTCAGAAGCATCACAGCAAAACTTCGAGTACACTCTCCCATTCTAGCAGGATTAAAGCGGGAGGACTGCCAACCTGGAGAGCTTTTAAAGCAACCGTAAGCTACTGCACCTATTAAGGGTTGTATTGATCAGATGAGGGACTATATTACCTGAAGGACTTTGCTGAAGAATGTTGCTCATTAAATTACCAGTTGTGCACGTGAAAAAAATAATTAAATATTGAACTCTATGTTTATAGCAGAAACCACCCACCAGGAAGTGAGTATGAAATCGTGTCTCCTGGAATCCCTGTGGCTTCCATGCCAGACTGCTGCGTGGGGCCAGGAGGCTGCAGGCAGGACCGAGGCCACACTGTGTGACCGACCGGGACTGATGGCCCCAGTCCCTCGGAGGAGCTCTCTGCTAGGTCGAGAGTGCTGGCAGAAGGGACTGAAAGAGGGTCAATTCTGGGACATTCCTCAGCCAGCGACTGTTGTAGACCTGGGCCCCTCACCTCTCATCCACACCCTCTCCCACTTCTTCACTGCCCGCAGATTGTGTCTCTTCTTTGCTGAGAAGACATTGGTTCCTCAACCATCTCCGCCGCGTGTTTTACCCCTTAATTCCATCCCCTCTCGACCTTTCTATAACCTCACCCCTTTCCTCTTTCTCTCCCTCTCTCTTTCGATCTCCTCCCCACCGCCGCTTCCTCCCCACTCTTCTTTAATCGCAGCCACCAGTTTGCTCGGGTCTTTTCAACACTAGGACGGAAGCCCCTGGCTGTGGTGCCTCCTCATGCTCTGCTCCGTCTCTCTCCTCGTTCTCCCACCTGGGTCTCCTGTTGCCCACCCATTTGTTCTGCCTCCAGCTCTCACCTTCCACTGCCTATTCTCTCTTTTGCCATCTGGGAATGACTGTCCCAATTCCCCCAAAACTGATCTCCCAAAGGTTACAGGTGACTTGCCAATGGGCAAATCTAGTGGCCTTCCCTCTGTCCTTATCTAACTTCCTGTTCTCATCGGTTCAAACAGTTAGCCATCCCTTTCTTGTTGAAGCCCATGCCTTCTACGATCCTTTACTTCCTCATTTCTCTAGCTGCCTTCTAATTCTTTGCCTCCTTTTCTTCATTCTGGGAGTTTATCATCAGCTCTCACTTCCTGTATATTCACACTCCATCCCAACCCCCATCATTTCCACACATAATTCCATGCCTGAGACTCTGAAAGGTGTGTCTCTGATTCTGATCTGTCTCTTTCTCACACTATAGACCCATGAATTAAGTCTGGTGGACATCTCCTTGTGAACACTCTCAGTGCCTCAAACACAGCCCTTCTAAACTGAACTAATGATCATGCTCCTGCACTCAAACCTTCTCCTTTCTACCTTCTCAGTCTCAGACAACAGAATTTTGTTTTATTTATTTTGGGGTCTGCACTAGGTCTTCATTATAGCACATGGGCTTTCTCCAGCGGCAGCTCACGGACTTAACTTGCTCCCAGGCCTGTGGGATCTTAGTTCCCTGACCAGAGATTGAACCTGCCTCCCCTGCGTTGGAAGGCAGATTCCTCACTTGTTTTTGCTTTTGTTTTCCTTCTTCGGCTGTGCTGTCTTCGTTGCTGTACGTGGGCTCTCTCCAGTTGTGGCGAAGGAAGCAGCTCTCCAGTTTCGGTACGTGCGTCTCCCACTGCGTGGCCCCTCTTGCGCAGAGCACGGGCCTCGGGGAGTGTGGCCTTCAGTAGGTGTGGCCTGCCGGCTCAGCAGTTGCAGCTCCCAGGTTCTAGATCACAGGCTTAGCAGCTGTGGTGTGTGGGCTTAGTCGCTCCTCAGGATCTTCCCGGACCAGGGATTGAACCCATGTCCCCTGCATTGGCAGGCAGATTCCTAACCACTGGATTACTAGGGAGGTCCCAGACAACAGGATTACCATGCAGTTTATCATTCACATTAGATTGATGAGATTCTCTCTCTTTGTGGTTTGCCTCTCTCATCCAGAGAGTATAAAAGTCATATTATTCATTTACCTCTCTGTAGAAATGCTTGTATATGCACGCTCCTTCTTCAATAACGTGGTCCTCTTCCCTGGACCAATCTTCTTATCTGATCCACCTACCTCTGGACTCCTCGTCTGCCACTCTGCCCCTGCTCACCTTCCAGATACGTCTTCCTAGGGCAGTAGTTCTCAAAGCAACGTCTCCAGACCAGCAGTGTTAGTTTCACTTGGGAACTTGTTAGAAAAGCAGTCTACAGCCCCACTGAAAACCTACCAAGTCAGAAATTTCAAGGCAAGGGGCATCCATCTCTGTCTTAATAAGCCTTCCAAGAGATTTTGGTGCACGCTAACATTTAAGAATCACTCTCCTAGAATGTCCTGTTGATTTTTAATAACAGCACTCAAAATCCCCTACTATTTTCCCATCAATATAAGACAAAGTTCCTAACTATAACGTTCAAGCCTTCTTCACCATGTGGCCTCAAGCCACCTTTCCAAAGCTAAGTATCAGCACTTCTTCTCATCTACATCATATTTCAGAAAAATCTGGATATTTCCTGTGTTTTCTGAGCTTTCCTAACATTTTGCCCCCACTGCTTCAGGAACCTGATCCCAGAAGTTCCCATCTTTCTTCCCCCAATCCTTCATCATGGAATGCAAACGAAATCTCCTCTACAAAGTCTTCCTGAGAAGACCATCTATCACCATGGAAGTCCTCTCTCTGAGGACTACGCTCCCTGGAACCTTGTTGGGACCACTGTTATTATAATTGCTTCCTACGTTGTCATGCCTTTGTTTGTGTATTTCTGCTGTCTGCCCCCAGTAGATTGTGAGTTCCTTGAGGACAGGAATGGCGTCTGTTTTATCTCTGTATCCCTAAGAACTCCTACAGTGTTTTACACACAGTAGGCACTCAGTAAATATCTGTTAATGTGAATGAAATTATGTCCCCAGAAAAAAAATGTAAGTGTGCAATGTTCTCTCAGTGAGAAAACCAAACTTTAAAAATCTCATGATGCAATACACACTTCCTTTTTCTTTAATATTTACCCTCTCATCCCAACTTTGTTCAAAAACTGCTAGGAATGCTTCCACATGAGAATAAAATGAATTTCTCATGCCACTGAACAGAAATGAATGTCCTTTATTGGTTAGGAATCAAGCTAAGCTGCTCCCAAAGAGACCCCCAAATATAGCAATTTAAGCAAGACAGCTCCTCTTTCACATGACAGTCAGGAGGTAGGAGGGAACGCAGAGTGAGCAGGAAACTGCTCCAGTGTTCTCCAAGGACTTGGGTCTTTACATTTTCTGGCTCTGCCATCCTCTCAAGGCTGGTCCCTGTCTGCATGGCCAAAGCTGACTCCCCATCGCATCCACATTCTAGTCCAAAGAAAAGGGGAGAGAAAAATGGAGAGCAAGCAATTTCTTTTTAAGAAAGTCACATGGAAATTATACATAGCACTTTTCCTTGGATTCCATTGGAAATAACTTAGTCACATGGGCTTTCCTGGCGGCTCAGCTGGTGAAGAATCCGCCTGCAATGAGGGAGACCTGGGCTCAATCCCTGGGTTGGGATGATCCCCTGGAGAAGGGCATGGCAGCCCACTCCAGTTTTCCAGCCTGGAGAACTCCATGGGCTGTATAGTCCATGAGGTCGCAAAGAATTGGACATGACAGAGCTGCTTTCACTTTCACTAGTCACTTGGCCACACCAAACTGTAAAAGAGAATTAAGAGAGTGAATTTCTTGTTGGGCAACCATGTGCCTTGCCGAAAATGAGCACTTCGAAATAAAAAGAAGGAGAGAATGGATACCAGGGGCCAATGAGCCACCCCTTCCACAAAAGAATATTGGTTTCTGCACGTGCAGCCCAAATACTACAGGGCAGGCCAGATGGCTGTCCAGCCAGCGGTGGTGTGTGTACCAGGATGTTGAGGTTTAAGTTAGGGGTGATTTAACAAGATTGTGCCTATGCTGAAAATCTAGTATTATCATGACTGTAATGTCTATAATATCTAGAAACTCTATGGGCAACTTGCTTGCTTTTTTATCACCCTCCATAAGTCTTCATTGAAAATTCTTGGCAATTATGAGTTTAAAACTTTCACGAGTCTAAGTAAATAAAAACACAAAAATTTTATGCATAACTAATTTTCACTTCCGAACTCATTTCCAGTTTACTAGATAAATCCTAATTAAATATGCTTTCTCATACCTATCTTGATCTTAGCAAAAAAGAATCCGTGTATGTTTCCTAACATAAATCAAACCTGTTGAAAAAAATCTGTTGTTCGATTTACTCCTTTAGCTGATAGTGTGATTTGCTACTGACCGTATTGCCCCCTTAAACTAAAGCTTGAGTGAAATAATAGTACCTTCTGATATGGTTGGTGCTTCTAGGGTAAACATTAGCAGATTAAAAGTAAACCCCAGGAGTCACATTTCATTCACCTCCATTAACTAATAAATTAGGACTTCAGGGCTTCTGTACTTGGTAAAAGAATTCTTGGACATATCACTC